ATCTAACCAGAAGACAGAAGACTTGAGAGCTCACTGATGTTGCCCATGCAAATCAGCTTTCCTGGGTAGATATGTAGCACTTGAGGCTATCAGCTAGTGCACAGAATCAGTGGGAAAACTGGGAATGAGGCTCACAAAAAAACGGCAGAGCTCAAGGAAGGCTACCCAGCAGGAGCAACCTGGCTAGGACATCACTGCTGGGTGCAGCCACTACTTTCTCCATTCTTCTAATCTCATTGTCCCTTTGTCGTTCGGTCACATTCTCGAGACCAAAGTCTTGGGTGGGAGCATCCGACTGGCTGAGGCTAGTTCACTCACTAGTTCACCCTTTTTGCCAAGGGGTGGAAACAGGGAATATTGCCTCCTTTGGCTTCCCCGGTGGGAACTGGGCTGCTGCCTTCTTTCAAGATTCACACATTTGGGGATATGTAGATATTTGGAAAGAGCTCAAAAAGAAGGCAGGTCTCTGTCTTCTCTGAAAAAAGACAAATCTCCATTAACAAATGACTTCCTAAATCTCCTTTATTACTCTGCAACCATAAGACTATCAGACAAGAATACAGAGCTTTTTTTTTTTAAGATTTTACTTTTCCTTTTTCTCCCCAAAGCTCCCCGGGTACATAGTTGTGTATTTTTAGTTGTGGGTCCTTCTAGTTGTGGCATGTGGGATGCCACCTCAGCATGGCTTGATGAGCGGTGCAATGTCTGCGCCCAGGATTTGAACCGGTGAAACCCGGGGCCGCCTAAGCACAGTGTGCAAACTTAACCACTCGGCCACAGGGCTGGCCCCCAGAGATTTGGTTTTAATTTCCAGTTCTCTGCTTCTTTCTCTCCCTCATTTCCTTCTTTCCCCCATTTCCTGATCTTAGGAAGGTCCCTTTATCTCTCTAGATCTTTAGACAAGAGAGCAGGACTAAGATCCTCAAATCTAGTTGGAGGTTCAAATGCTAGGCAGCCAAAAATATATACCTAAGCTCATCCAATAGAATATCCTAATCAATATTTTCCTGATAGACCACCTAAACCTCTTGGGTTGTTAATACCTAAACTTCATTGAATATGTTTTCCTCAATACAGTGTTGGTTTTTTTAGCTGCTATTCATACAGGAAACATTTATATTTATGTCCTAAAATGCAGTGTAACATTTTTTAATGGATAGAGTAATAAGACACACATGAGACTCTCACAGACTGTGTACTTTTTGGTGTTCATTCACAAGGGACATCAATATTTCCACCTTCTGAGAAGTCCACTCACATTTTTCTTGAAACCTGGTTGTCTGCAGTCTTTAATCTGGTTCTTTCCATGCCCCTAATCATCTGGCAAAACTATTAACCACTGCTCATGAATTGATATAGATCCATGTCTCAGGACTTCTCTCCTTCCAAGTAAAATGCCAATGGGGTGTACTGTTTGAAGTTTTGTCCATCAGGAGCATTTCCCTTCTTTACCCCTTGGATTCAATATAGATGCTCCATCTACAGTGAATCTTGAATTGCTGGATCCAGACCAATCCAAAATTACATTTTTTTATCCTTGATCAGGTATCCTTATACTCTATTCCCAGACACACTTGCCAGAGGTTTTCCAATATAAACTAGAAATCCAGGAGTCTTTGGCCTTCTCTGGCTTTTGACTGTCATTGCCACCCACCTCCCAGGGTCTCGCAGAAATCTGACAACCTTGGGAATTGGTGGGGGGAAGGGAAGGTGAAGAGAACTGGCTTCATCTTGCCAGGTTACTCTCTCAAGTAAAAGAGCATCTTCAGTCAAGGGAAGAACAGTTTCATCAGACAAGCTAGGAGAGATTTCTTGAGCTGCAAGGGATAGTCAATAAAAACTAAGGGTTCAGCATTCTTAGGGTCCTCTAAATCCTCTCGTATATTTCCACGTCAATTTTCCAGCTTTCAGTCTAACCCAGATAATGCCACAATATGCACCTAAGAGACCTGTTAGGTCTGTGGATACCAGTGGTATTGTAATTCATCAGCACGCAGAATGAAACCAAAGTTTGAGTTTATCTTTGACCATCTCAGATCAGTTGAGGCAAATGACTTCTTTCGCCATTAAGCTATTCATAATAAGAAGCAGCTTCCTCATTGGTTGTCATTGAACTCCTCGTGGCCTTCATATTATTCTCCTTAAATCGTACTTTCAGTCAGCATTCCAGGTGACCATAAGCAATTGTCTCATCAGCTGTTTTGCCACTGTATTTCTAAGGAGGAGTGTTAATGTCAGTCAACCAATCCTGATTTTATCACTTTTCCCCAAGGGTTGGTTGCCTGCAGCTCACTTTGTGGTACCGATTTCTGAATCGGTCAGAGTTCTTGGGGAGAACAAAAGGATTTAGTGGGAAATAATCAGGGAACTCGTAGAATTAACAGACAGTCTAGAGACAGATGCTTGGACAAAGGGGCAGGGGAACTAGGGAGGTGAGGCAGCAGGAGATTGGGTTAGGATGTTGCTGCTGACTTTGCTGTAGTCCACAGCCACCACTAGGCCTAGTCACCGTGGCAAGAGAGTGCACGCTACTGGACGCAGCCAGAAATGCTGGTAGAAGCATTGTAAATCTCACCTCCCTGGCTCTTTTTCTTTAGTCCTTCAAGATTCAAAGCCCCAGGTGAGAGCATCTGCTGGATCATGTGCCCATGCCTTGGCTTTGCAGGGGGTGGAGAGAGGGAAGGAAGATTTTTACGCTAAGATTCTACACTAAGACTCACACAAGGAGAACTGGAGGGGAGTTTGCATGCTGGGTAGTGGAAGCCTCTCCCTTTCTGTCAATCAGTAATGGAAGGAGATTTCACTAGGAGTCTAGAAGCCATTTTTCTATTTCTCTCTCACTTGCTTTCTCTCTTTTTCTCCCTCCTTCACCTAATTTTGAGAAAGTCATTGTATTTTCTGGTTCTCTGGAGGAGAGAGTTGGACTAAGATACTCAGGGTCCACCTATGTCTAATACTCTATGACCTCAGACCTCTCAAGAATCTAGTAAAGGAGATGCTATGCTTACATTAAAAGTTTAATAAATGTATAGTCTAAGATCTTTCCTTTTATCCAATGAGTAGTCTTAAACGATCATTTTTGACCCAGTTTCTCCTTGTATGTAAAACTTCTACATATGTCAGCAAGTCATAATATTTATGGAATTCCTCCTATAATATTAGATATTGAAGCTTTTTAAGCTTCCTTGCCTTTTGACACTTCATGTTGATTTTAATAACTTCCTCAGTACCCCTCCAAAGTTAAAATGCGTCTAAAAATCAAGGTGAACCTTAGTGAGAACAGTGATAAAGGAAGTTAATATTCCAGGAGGCCTTAGGGGCTTATCAAGGTTGATGCATCAGTTTTACTTTAAATCTCTTATCTATCTAATTATTTCACCACTTTAATTAAATGAAGCTGAAATTGGTATTGATGAAAAGAGAAAGCACAATCAAAGAAACAGATAAGCAAATAATTGAACGCAAATAACTTTTAATTATACTCGCTTAATAAAGTTAAGGAATAGTGTCAGGTGCCAACGTTACTTTGTCAAATCAAAGGGCAGTGTCGGGATGAAAAAGGAAAAAACAGCACAGAATGTTCTGAAGACTGTGGTCGATTTCAAAATTGTTAAACACTTTTATATGAGTCTGGTTCCGAAACAACCCTGAATCCTGGTCATGCATGTGTTCAGACCCTGTAATGGAAACCCACTTCTTTGCATCCCTGCATATGTCTTAACCATTTGTAGAACCCTAGTAAAGTCCCCAGGCTTTCCCAATACAAAGAACTAGGTGGGCTTCCAGGTTTGGCAGTTATACCTGGCTAGTTTAAAATGCTGTCCTATTTGGAATTATAACAGGAAAAATAGCAAATAGCTGCCACTTTAAGTTGATCAAACAGTTTCTTCTAAACTCAACAATGCATTTACTCTCTCCCATCTACCTAATGCAAGGTTACCTGGGTTATTTATCTCTGTCCAGTGTCCTGCTGCAGTGATGTATGGTGCATAAGAAAAATCACCGGGTAGTGATATAAACTAACTAATACATGCAGGAGAGATGTAAACAGCACATTCATTGCAGGAAAAGAGCTGTGGGTACGGAGAAGAATCAGTGATATCGTTAGAAACTAAAGGTGATCGTGATGCATTATACTCATATGGACTTTGCAAAATATATTGCTAATGTCTCTAGAGTCATTCTGTGTTCCATTGATTGGGGAAGACTACTTTAGAAAATGGCTGAACTGTTTTCATGTCCCTCATTTCTTTGAACAAGCCTATAATTGTACATTTTAACTGGCAAAAAGAGTAGTGGCCATGGTAGCAAAGAGATTTTATGATCCATTTTTATTATACTGTTTGGTTGTACTGGAAGGCAACAATGACTCTTGGCATTTATAGAGTCCTTTGTATTTTAAAAGCACTTAACAATCATTAATTACTTTATCTCATTTCTATCTCAAATGGAATAGTTTGGTTAGCAGGGTTACACAAGGAAAACACTATCAGACAATAAAAGATTAGAAACTTGAAAAGTTAGGCAGTTGAAGTACTGAGGGAGAACAAAGTCCCCGGTTTTCCCATCATTTAAGGGGAAAAGGGAAAGAGTGAAGAAAACACGTCGTAGGTCTTCATTGGGAAACATTGTTTTCATTTCTTATTTTTGATTAGTTTAGAGCACAATGGCGAAGCAAAGCACAACACCTCAGTACTTTTATTTCTAGAAAAGTGACTACAATAAGCCAACAACTGTGATGGGGTTGATGGGGCTCTCACCACCTGTACTGATGCTAGTAACTAATAAAAGCTAACATTTGTTGAATGCTGAGCCACGTACTAAGCTATGGTACTCTATATCCATTATCACATTTCATCTTCACAACGAAGCCTTGAGATAGGAGCTTCTAGTACCACCAACAGAAGAGGAAACTGAGGCTTAGGCTGAGGAATTTGCTCACAATAAATAGCTCTCCAATTGTAAATCTCTGGATTAATTTTCCTTATACTGCTTTCCAGATGAAGCGCTTATCCCTTAAAGGTAACACATTGGGTAACAATCAAGGATGACCTGGGTCTCTGGAAGAAAGGACACTGAACTCCAGTTGGAGAATTCTGGAGAATGAAATCGGCAATGGTGAGTGCCCAATCTCCATGATCCAGGCTCCAAATCATCAACAAAGCTCCAGAAAAGGGGCTTATTTCTCTCTGGTTTTGGAGACAAAATTCCCATAGTTTATGTCCTGGACTCTGGGTAAGTCCCAGCTTTACAGGTCACAGAATTGTTACCAGTGGAGCAGCCTTAAGGGAAGAAGGCTGTGTTTAGCTAGTAGTCTAAAGTGAGGTCAGAGCTCTTGCTTAGCAGATGTGGCCAAATAAGACAATCATGGGCAGATCAAGAGGACTTCCCAAATAGTGTCTGGAGAGAGGTGCCAACCACAAAGATGATTACAGCTTTCATCAAAAGCTAGAAATGAACAGAGAAGGCATTCACCAGCAGTGATTTTGGAGGACATTCAGGATACGTGTCCTGGGCTCAAGGGGAGAACATTGCTATAGAAATTATTATTGGGACAGTTCTTCTAGACCAAGTGCTGGGCATCAGGAAGCAATGCCAATAGCCTGACAGGACTCTCATATCACTCAAATTCTAGAAGTATATGGCAACTCTAGGGAGCCTCAGGGATGATTGTTGAGACATCGGTGAACTTTGAACTTCTGTGATTTCCCTATTTGCTTAATGCCTGATAGACTTTGGTCTGCCAATAAATCTCCTTTATGCACAGCTTCACCTCTGTGCTTCCAAGGGGAGGAATTGGAATCAGCCTATGGAGAAAGAGATGGCTCTAGGATTCTGGGTGGGAGCTTGAACAAACAAAAGGGCACCCATAAAAGATAACCTCACCTTTTGCATCTCATCTGCCTCTGACATAAAGGTTGGATCATTAACCATATTTATTTACCCTTTTCCTACTTCATAAATTGTGTATGCATTTTCTAATCTTGTCTTCTAATGCTGAAATGTACCATATCACAAAACAAAAAGCACCAGGCATGAAAACTTGAGATTTTTGTCCCTGTCTAAGCTCTGAACATTTTTAGGCTTTGCTTAACATCAACAACTGCCAGAGTAAATGATTAACAGAAGAATGACTTCAATGAAAATGTGGTTTTTATGACAAGAGAGAAGAGAGGTTGCATTTGAATTTGATGATCAGCATTTCATGCTCTCGTTCAGAAACTTGGTCTTCATGTGGGACCCAGTCTACCTTCTTTATATACCTTAATTGAAAGGGTATGGTGGGAAAAGGGGTGGAAAGGGGACCAGAGATAATCTTTACTGATTTCACAATTTCCCCTAGGGCCTGCGTGTTTGAACAAATACTCTACTAGTGATGTAGCAAGAATCAATATTTTGACAAAGTCCCATTACCATCTGTTAATTAAAAAGTAACTTTCAAATTCTCTGTAAAGCAGGAGCTCTGTGGGTGACATATACCCAAGTGGAGAGAAAAATAGTAGCCAGCTGATGGGTAATTTACTTCTCCATCATAATTCTAATTTATTTGCTTTTGCTAATTCTCATTCAGATCCAAGCCACATAAGAACACATTCTTAAAAGAGGACACAGCTTTACAGTTTATGAAGCATTCCAAAGACAATGAACACAAAAGGATTTTTTGGATTTTTCAGCAAATTGGATATAACCTAGGACATAGAGAGTTCTTAAGGGCCATTGGATATCCATATACCACTCCCTGCAAAATCTCAAACTAAACCTCATACTTTAGACAAAACTTCACTCAAAATGGATCATAGATCTAAATATAACTCGTAAGGCTATAAAAGTTTCAGAAGTAGGAGAAAATCTTTGTGACCTTGGGTTAGGCAAAGAGTTCAGAGATATAGCACCAACGGTATAAATCATTTAAAAAAATGGTAAGTTGAATTTTATCAAAATTAAGAACTTTTGCTCTGCAAAAGGCACTATCAAGAGAATGAAAAGACAAGCTACAGACTGGGAGAAAATATGTGCAAATCACATATCCAATAAAGGTCTTGTATCCAGAATACATAAAGAACTCTCAAAACAAAACAATGAGAAAACAAATAAGTCAATTAAAAAATAGATTAGGCAAAAGATTTGATAGACACTTCACCAAAGAAGATATATGGGTGGCAAATAAGCACAAGGAAAGATGCTCAATGTTATTAGCCTTTAGGGAAATGCAAATTAAAACCACAATTAAAAACCACTATATACCTATCTGAACAGCAACAGGGAAAAATATTGACAATTTCAAGTGCTGACAAGGATGCAGAGCAACTGGAGTTCTCTTGCGTTACTGAGAGGGCTGAAAATGTGTAGCCACTCTGGAATATTCTGGCAGTTTCTTCTAAAGTCAAACATATACCTACCATATAATCCAGCCATTCTACCCCTAATATTTACCCTAGAGAAATAAAACTTATGTTAATACGAAAACCTAGTCACCAACGTTTGTAGCAGCTCTGTTTATAAGTTCCAAAACTAGGAAACAACCCAAATGTCCTTTAATGGGGAATAGATAAACAAAGTATGATATATGCATACAAAGGACTACTCCTTAGCAATAAAAAGGAACAAACTAATGATAAACACGACAATACAGATGAATCTCAAAGGCATTATGCTGAGTGAAAGAAGCCGGTCTCAAAGATTACATACTGTATGACTCCATTTATGTTACATTCTGGAAATGGCAAAAGTATAAAGGAGAAAGAAAAGATCAATATGACAGGAATTAGGGGTGAGAAGAGGGTGTGACTACAAAAGGACTGAAAGGGGAGTTTTGGGAGGAGATGGAACTGTTCTGTATCCTGATTGTGGTGGTGGTTACACATATGCATATATGAGTTAAAACTCATAATGCTGTGCACCAATAAAAACAGTTTCCTGTATGCTAATTTTTAAAATTTAAAGATAACGAAACATATCAAGTACATTCATTTAAACAAAAGAAAAAAATAAAGGAGAAAAAAAGAATATCGTTTCCATTTGTAGATAAAGAAACTGACTTGCCCAAGGTCATTCAACCAATAAACAATAAGTTCTGAACTAGAACCCACATCTTTGAAGGACATCATTCTTTCCCTGTTGCTACATGAGAAATAAACCTTCAAAAGTGTAAGCCAAGTTATGTATTAGTTAGCATACATTTGGTTGTGAGTAACAAAAACCCCAATTCAGAGTGACTTAAACAAAAAGGACATTTATTATTTTACATAACAAGGTGTCTGTGGTGGGGAGAGACAGGAGGTTGGTTGATTTTGCAACTCAGTGATGTCATAAATGACCAAGACTCCTTCCTTCTTCCACTTGGCCAAACCATAGTTTCATTCTAAGGCTGCTTCTCGTCGTGGTCACAGGATGACTACTGGTCTCCAACAGGGATATATGCTTCTTTGTTCATATCTGGGGGAAGACAGAGCACCAGCAACAATCTTGCAGAGCTTTTAACTAAAGTGTGTACTGCATGCAAATACTGTGGTTTCTTCGGATCTTTAAGATTCCAGACAACCAGCTATAAAATGTAGTTACGTAATTAGTAACACTCTGAAATAAACGGAGCTTCTCACTGCAGTAACAGCCATATGTCTTATTTGTACAGAGCTCAAATTTGCAATAGGTCTCTGGCAATAGCTATGCCAAGGCTCTTAGACACTGTACCTCATGTTTGGTTAGCACCCTAAATGTTCCAAAGTGGTGTAATAGTTCATTTCATAAAACCTTTAGTTGGACAGATGAGGACTCACAGTCTTAGGGGAGTGAAGCGACTTGGCCAAATTCACCATCAGTTAGCGACGCAGACAGAGGTCACGTTTGATATTCAAACATCCTTCCCAGAATTCTTTCCATCACATTAATTCCCTCTTCAGTGTTTGGATTTCACTAGGGAAGCACAGTAGCAATTTCAAAGAAATATTGCAAGTTCATACATGATGCTTACAAACTTTAAATTTCAGGAAACTAACTTCTTTTTTTTTTTTTTGCTGAGGAAGATTTGCCCTAAGCTAACATCTGTTGCCAATATTCTTATTTTTTGCTGATGAAGATTTTCCCTGAGCTAACAGCTGTTGCCAATCTTCCTCCATTTTTCATGTGAGCCATCACCACAGCATGGCCACTGAGAGACGAGTAGGTCCGTGCCTGGGAACAGAACCTGGGCCGCCAAAGTGGAGTGCACTGAATTTTTTTTTTCGGCTTTATCTCCCCAAACCCCCCCTGTACACAGTTGTATATCTTAGTTGCAGGTCCTTCTAGTTGTGGGATGAGTGCACTGAATTTAACCACTAGGCCATAGGGGCTGGCCCAGGAAACTAACATTTTTCATATCCTCAATGGTAACATTTGGCTATTTGGAATTTTAGACTCAAATGTGACAACATAAACTTGAAATCCTGGTGTCTCATTAACTTCTCCGTCTCCCTTCCCTCAACATTGTTATCAATTGTTCTGATAGGTAGATTCTAATTCCTAAATCTCTCTTGCATACATTCACTGTTTTCTATTTCCACAGCCCCAGTATGTGCTCATGCCCTTGTCATAACACAATAAACTCTGTCTCTTTGCCTCTGTTTTTTCCCCACTGTACTTACACAATGGTGCTGGATTAATGTTTTCAAAACACAATGCAGATAATGACATATGTCTCCTCCTCTGCCCCAGCTCTAAAACTTTAATAATCTTCTTTTGACTATAGATTAAATTCTAAACTCTATAATCTGGCTTTCAGGGCCCTCAACAACCTGCCTCAAATATTTCTGTCCAAACCTTGAGAGAATCCTCCTTTTTTGGGTGGTAGTTGTAGGCAGTGGTGTGCTGGAGCCAGCCTGCAATGGTTTGCAAGAGCCAGTCTTACACCTCTCTTCCCAACTCTGTGTTCAGTGATGTCACTTTAGTAGCTTGAAGTTGGCCACGGTGGGAACATTTACACCACACAAATCGGTCAATGCCACAAATTAGAGCTTCTTTCTTTTTTTGAAGACCTGATTATTAAACATTTACTAGCACACCGCCAGTTGCAGGGTAATCAGGACTAAATCTGAGAGTGAGGGTTCCATATGGTATGGAAGACAACAACATTGACACTGAAA